AATTTTAAATTCGAGGATATGCTCGAACCGTCACTTATTATTTCCACCCTCGTTCCGGATAAATAATCCCCGACCAGCTGGCCATCTCTCACTCAAAAGCTTAATCACAAATCGATAAACGTGACGCATACTCGACCGTTCCACCCTTGTTCAGAAACACGATCTTGTTGAATTTTCGAGAACGCACAGAGGTTACAATTCTCGATATAATCTCGATTCAAATTCGTCGGTTAATGGACATCGATTATCCCTCTCATCATTTTCTCTTGAAACAATATTTCGAACGCTACTTCCTCTCAAGTAGTTTCATTCAATTTTCCTTCGATCTCGATCTAATTCGATTCGCATTCAGAATGATTAATCGACTCATTTATCACTCCGTGTAACGGAGAAACGAAGAATATTCTTTCAAATTGTCCCATGTGTAAACAAGATTACATTTAATTCCTCTTCGTTACGAGAATCCACGCATGAATTCATCGGTTAAACACCGTTGAAAAAGAAAAGGTTGAAATCTTCAATTATACATTTTTCTTTTTTTCCTTCTTTATTTAATTAATGATGATCGAGAGAATCGCAAGGAAATTCGAATACGAATAACGATTGAACAGATGAATGAACGAGATGTTGATTTGATGGCGTTCCTTTAATCGAGAATCGTTACGGAAGTTGGCGCGATGGCGAACGAGTAGCACCGAAAATGGCGGACTTAATGTGGCTTGTCTCTCTCTCTCTCTCTCTCTTTCTCTTTCTTCGTCTCGCGCGCTGCTCGCTCGGTTACTCGAATAATGGATTGCCATTAAAGCATCCACGTTAAAGAGGAAAGCACGAAACAGCTCGTTCACCGTCGCTAGCTCATTAGGGAAGGGAAGAAATTTGTGTGCCCGTGTTGAAAATCGAACCGCGTGGAAAATGTTTTATTTCCATTCGTATGTGAGAGAGAGAGAGAGGGGGAAAAGGATTCAGAAATAATTCGGAGGAAAATAAATCGAGAATAAATTATTTATAATTAATAGAAAATGATATAGTATGCGTTGCATCATTTATAAGGAATTAAATCATTGATCGGACGAAGATATAAAATCTTAAATAATCTCAATTATTGAAACGTGCGATTTTAAGGTATGTGGTTAAGGATATTAATAAACCGTGTCCTCGTAACCATAATAGAATAAATATTGAAAACATAACTTCTCGAAATTATATTTCATTCAACCAACTCCTGACTCTCTCCTCCTCTTTATATATCCAACACCAAAGAAATTTCCTCTCCCGATAATAAAAAAAACGAACGTCAACGTCTCGCCAATTAAATCGTCCCGCCTGTGGCCCTGCCGCAATTAGCACTATCAAAAACGAATTATAACTATCGAGCCGAGTAATAATTAAAAACGTTACGTCGTAATCGTGGTAACAGGAAGCGAGGAATAAATTGCTGCGTTGCCACCCTGCCAACTCGTCGCTCTATAATATCGTATTTTCGCTCGTTCGAGAAAAAGAATCAAACAGCACCAATCGGCCGGACGCCGATACTCCCTCGAAGTTTTCACGAAGTGTTAATTCTCTTAATCGGATGTTGCGATTAACCATCATCGTCGCGGATATCCTCGACTCGACTCGAATCATATTTAAGTCTCCCATTATTATTACCCGTTTACTCGCCTCGAGTAATGATACATCGCGCCCTCAACTGCCCGATCTCCTACTTCTCCTACTCTCGTCACGGAACGGAAGAATCGTCGTATATTTTTCAACTCGAATCATTGTAGAGACACGAACGGTAACCTTGATCCGCGTGGAGGAAAAAAGTTCGAGTCGATCCAAGTTTTCGACGTTTCGCAAGTTGAAATAACTCGTGTCGTTGTTAGATCGTGATTAGACGTTGTTCGATAAACATTGGCTATAAACGTTAAATATAATCTAAAAATATCGTATCGAAAAATGGGTGGAAATGGGAGGAAGGGGAGGGGGGGGGGAGGGAGGATATTTTTACCAAGCACGTGGCTCCACTGGTATCGGTACAATTTATTGTTACAAACGCTGCGGCAAATGTACCGTTGATTTTCTACGAGTACGGTGGCCTTGAGCAAGGCCGTGGCATTGAAATCCAAGCGCCGCTTTAATTTATACCGGTCGTTGAACCCTCGCCTGGCTTACACGACTACTTCACTGACTGGAGCAACTGCATAATGTTCTCTAGCTCTAGTATATAATATATACGTATATACACACACACACATATGAACACGTATATATATATATATATACATCGTATACACGTGGTAACGTTGCGATGCATTATATATAACGAGAGATTGAAATTTTATCGCGGGGAATTTTGTCTCTTTTTCCCTTCTCCTCCCTCATGATTCGTTTCGTTTGTGTGTTTTGTTCTCGCGGCAAGATAAAAGAAATATCTTCTTCTTTTTTTTCCCCCTATCGAAGTAAAGATAAGTTCAAATTTCACTAAATCATTCCGATCGATCAAAACTCGTTGCGCTTTCGGATTCACGGATCCAGAATTTATTTCTCTCTTTCGTCCTTCTCCCCCGTCGTTCCAATTTCTCCTCGCGCATTTCTTCTTGCGTATATCCATTTTTTTCCTTCTTTTTTTTTTTTTTTTCTTTTTTTATCGTTACCAACCATCCAAGTTTTCCGCGTCCATTAACGCGGCTCGCGTAACGAGGGCGAAATACCTGGTCGACTGGCTAATTATCTCTTCGTTCCCCGAATTTACAAATATTTTTCGTGAACGCCGTATGCGCCGGTGTTCCTGGTGCCGAATTATCGTTATTACACCGGTTATATTTAATTCCGGGAGGTAAATCAATTGCGTATGACGCTCGCGGATAATTGGTTAATTAACTCGAATTGGTGACGGTTGTGCGTGTATGTGTGAATGTGTTCACGAAATTCGTGTTACGCGTGAATCACGGGCCGGCAATGTTCGCCACGAAGATGTGTGGGGGGGATGGGATGAACGAAAATTCGAAGATTCTTTTGCGCCCTTTTGTCTCGTTGTTTTTGATTAAAGATCTGGATAAATATTTGGAATTTGCTAATTACTTTGATCGCGTTAAGAGGAGAGAAAAAGAATTGAAAAAAATTTGACGATTGTGTCGATAATAATGTTATTCGAATTTTTCTGTCGTGTAATTATTGGAATGATAGAGATCGAAGATCACTATCATTAGGGAAGGATAATCCTGAAATTTCAAATTAAAACCTGTTCTTGTCACATTGTGGATGCAGAAGATATAGAGACAAGATTTATTTGAATATATATATATATGTATATGTGTGTGTGTGTCGCAGTGAATATATTATTTCAGTAAATGTATACAGTTAACCGGTCAATATATGCACATTTAATTATCGAATGAATAAATACAGTTACTAGAAATAGCAAGTATATTTTTATATTTAATCTTTAGCCAAAGGCTTACGCGAGAGATTAACCGATATAGATTTTGTGTCAACACTGGTATCGATATTCTCCCCATTTTCTACCTTTTCGTTAAAAAAAAAAAAAAAATTTCGAAACAATAACTTCGAAAACTTGAAAATTAGAGCTAGATCACGTATCTACAAGTTTTCAAGTTGGAAGGTATCGGGATACGCGAGGTAAAGTTTATTTCAATTCTAATCGAAGGTCAACTCCGATTGCTATTACCACGACAATTGATTGTTGGTACGTGGATACCATTGAGAGATATAACCTTAGATTACTCCGTTATCTCGAAAGGTTTGTGCGTCGTAATACCGGCCGCGATCGTTGTAAATCTTGAGATTAGATCCCCTCGTGGACGTGAGCTTCTTACGTGTGTAATATGTTCTTGTTATTTAATCATTTAGCCTTACGTTTAATCGACAAGCGCGTACAACGTTGAATGCAATTATCTCCTACGCGGAATAATTTCTTTGGGATAATTATGAATTTTCATATATATATATATATATATATATAAAATTGAAAAGTCTGAAAAAAAGGAAAAAGAAAAACTTCGTGATATGTTCGCCGATTACTTCATAAAACGCGTCATTGAACGCGTTATACAATATTTCGTAGAAGGAGAGAGAGAAAGAATCGTATTTTATGCAGATATTCAACTTTATACGTATGAAGTATTTAATTTTTAAAAGATCGGGCAATTAATCTCGAGTCGCTATTATGTTTTAAATCACGTTTTTATATACTTCATACACGAACTGTTATATTCACGCAAATGAAACTTTTAAAAATATTGTCGAATCTATAAGTAATAAAGAAAACATCACATAATAGAGAAATCATTTTTTCATTCGTTCTGATATCTTGATATATTGCTCAGATATAAGGATTTAAGATTTTTAAAAATTTCGAGATTACGAACGAGCTTCTTCTTTCCAAGAATCGAGCGCTACATTTTTCCAGAAATCGCGTTTGTCACTTGCTAGGGATTTGAGATAGGTCAATGAGACGAGCGATGAGAGTAAACGATTATAAATTATTTTTTCTTCACGCGATGATTTTTCGGGAACCGGAAGTCGTATTAAAATAAATGAAATAGCATTTTAAAGAGCAAGATTCCGCGCTTCTAATGACCTTTCATTCGTCGATCACGAGCCATTATCTTCCAACTTATCGCGTTTTAAATTTTTCCTAATTTTAATTCGATCAAGTTTTAAACTGGAATTACGTAACGTACGTACGTAATACATTCCTGAAATATATACATCGTACATCGCCTATTGTACATTCATTTCCAAAAATTCGCAATCTACTTGTTATACATTTTTATAGATCATAAGTTTATTCAAACCTATTTCAAGCTCGTCGAATATATCAATATCGTCAATCAAACGAGAAAATCTGCAACATCACGTGTACATACAATATTATCGCAGTTCGATCGAGGTTTATATTTTCGAAAGGAGGTGAACGATATAATAACGTTCCTCTCGCGTTGAACACGAACACACGTAGTAATTGAACATCGTCGGTTCGGTTTTGATTGCAGCGTATTGGCCTCGGAGCGACAGTGCAGCTTCGTCGCTTTTCGGCGGTATGCCGGGCGGATATGGATTGGGGGCCCATCATTTGCCATCGGCTTACGCTATCCTGGGCCGTGGAGGTTCTGCTCCCGGATTCGGGGGTCACACACCGGCTTCCGCTCCACCGCCACCCCCGTATTCCCACAGCAGCCTTGGTACTCTGAGCGTGGCTGCCAGTCAGGCTGCAAGTTTAGGTACAATAATTTCGTTGTTATACCGCTGTTATTCGTCTATCCTTGTTGGATGCGGGGATTTCGAATAACTTATAATTATTATTATATTCGAATTTCGAATTTCGAATCCAGGTATCAATCCCGCGAGTGCAGCATGGTGGACGATGGCCTCACACTTAGCGGCACAGGACTACCTCGCGAGGTTACAAGGAGCGGCAGGATTGCCCGGATTTCCGCCTGGCGCCGAGAGCCTCCTGCCACCATATCCTGCCTCGCTACTTAATCCCCCGTCCTTGTCGTCCCACAAGTCCAGTAAGTGTAAGTATCTCTCTCTCTTTTCTTCCTTTATCTATAAAAGATATTCTATGTAATATAAACGCTTCTTATTACTCGAGATATCGATTGAAATTCTATTTTAAAAATTTTTTGAAAAATTTCTGAAAAGAAGTTTGTGATAGTTATGTGCGCGTTTTCAACGGAATCTAATTTATTTTTCGTATTGGAACGAGATTAGAATTTCTGCACAATTTGAAAACAATGTCTCTGTTATGGAACAGCTAAGTCAAGCAAGAGTCACAAGACTCCCGCGAGCAGTAGCAGCTCGACGACGCCAAGTATGACGAGCAGCAGTTTACCGGTCTCGACCCAAGCGCCGGTCACGTCCTCTCATCACAGCACGTCGGCGAGCACCACGCCGAATTCCCAAACGAACGTTGTCAGGTAAAGAGTGTGCAAGCTCGTTAAATCGATGGTTTTTCCCGTTTTCATTATTTTTTAACTGACGCTCCCGCGTCCGCATCGCACTTACCGTTTCCCATTAATTATTTTTCCACGCTTGCCGATACGCCTACAGTTCTGCGAAAGAGGGCAGGTGAGAGATCGTTAAGAATGAACAAAAACAAACAAAGAGAGAGAGAGAAAAAAAAGAAAAACAACAACAATCACCGAAAAAATACGAACAGGAAAAAAAAAAAA